CCAAATAGTCACGCCCAGGGCCTTCACTTAGGGCGGGTAAGGCTGCAAACAGGGCCCCATAGGCCTACCGAGGACCCTGATCCTCGCATTCCCTCCTCCTTTACTTCGTGAATCCTCTGAGAAGTCTCTTATTCTGCAGGCATCTTCCCCTTGAGTACTCTTTCATAACCTGCGATTACTTGAGGTGCTGTTCTCATGAGTTCTTCTCGCGTGAACCACCGGTCGTTTTTAGGATCCAGATGATGTCTGAAGCTCACACGATACTGCATTCTCGGTTTAGGAGGTCGCCCTCTGCCTGATGGTCGAGGAACAGGCATCACTCGATGCTCGACGATCTGGTCAATGTCCACTTCGCCATCCATGGTCGGGGGCAGCATTGATCTTCTGGAAGGGAACTGCTCAGTAGAAGCATAGGGTGCTAACTTAGAGGCATGGAACACAGGGTAGGTACGCAAGTGAGGTGGGATGCGGATTACATATGAAGGACCGTCTGGTTGATCTCATACAATCTCTAAGATCTGCCAGGGCCCAAAGAACTGTGGCATTAGCTTGCGGGATATGCCTAACTCCTGACCAAGCTCAGCAGCCTTAATCCAGACTCTCTCGCCTACCTGAAAGTTAGAGGGCCGTCTATGTTTATTCTCAGATGCAATCATTGCCTCTTGAGACTTCCTAATGTGTTCAACGGCCTGCTGCAGCATCTGTTCGTACTTGACAACAAACTCTATGCTGCCGGGTGTTGCAATGGGTTCTCTTTCTGGTAACAGAAAGTCTAAGGCGGTTCGGGGCTTCCAACCGAAATGCAGTTGGTTGGGAGTCATGCCGGTAGTACTATGCACAGTATTGTTGTACAGGCTGGCAACGAGAGGTAGTTTCTCATCCCAGTCGTGTGCTACCTAGGGCCTGGAGGGCCGTCGTGGGCCTCCAGGGCGCGAGGTGTATGGTACGCGCCTGGGGGGCCCTCAGCAACCGTCGGGCCCCTCAAATGGGGCCCGTGTGCAGGCGCAGTATGTAACACACAGTGACTGGCCCATCGAAGAAGCTCGGTCCTGATGCTACCAGCTGACCCCTGGCCGGTATCGCCCACCTGCTGTAGCAGATATCGCACCTGCTGGTGGGTGCAGCTCCCGGATGTTCCGTCGTTGGAGGCTTGAGCACGGATGTGGCTGCTACGGGGTTAATGGCAATAAAAAAGGCCTCAAAGGCCGTCCTGTCCAGATTTGAGAGGTAATTGAATTGGTTGGGCTTAAACCACTAGTACCTTTGCCGCGTGGGAAAATAGCGGGCCTCAGGTGGGCCTCCGACCTTTTTGGATGGCTGAAACGAAACGACCGCCGCCGATCAGATTTATCAATGGTAGCCGTCGTCGGGCCCGGCCTCCGAATTTTCACGAGTTTGGGAAAACAGCCACTTTTCCCTAACTTCCCAACACTGGCGGAGGTACTAGTGATTTAAAGAATTAGCCTTTAAAAAAGAAATAAAAAAGTATGAGATAGCCTGAATAAAGAAAAGAAAATCCAAGGCAGTTAAACCACACGTTCACGGCCCTAGCCTTGCAGTCCGAGACTTGTCACCACAAGAAAATGAGACCGGAACATCAAACGTTGGGCCTGCCGTTGATAAATTCGATCCACCGTGGCATTTGGTGTCATCCCCACAGCCCAGGAACCCATGTACTAGTGCTTTAAGGAAACTGCCCCACTAAGTTCGTGACTGTCGTACGACCACAATTAGCTGTAGATCAAGGGCCCACTATGAGTCCGCGATTTTAGCTGGGGGATGGAGTGACGAGCAACACTCTTTCAGTCCGAGACTTGTCACCACAAGAAAATGAGACCGGAACATCAAACGTTGGGCCTGCTGCAACACAACACAGACCAGTACCCAAAGCTACACTTAAGCGTATGGAAGATAAACCCCATACCACAACTTGCCCTAACCCTTTCTAAACTAGATTTTAACTCGTCTCTGGTTAGAACTAAGAAATAGTCAAAATTTCGACAACATCTTCCCTAAACAAGTTGGATTGCCAAAATTTTCATGACCAAAAATAATCCAACTCCTCAAATCGAAGAAAATTTTGACAACACACTTCCCCTAAATAAAGTGACTTCCCATAATTTATACTAGGTTGAATGTGAAATCAAAAATAAAACTTTTGACTTTACAAAGTCTACATTTGTCTAATTCCTTGAATTCGTAAAAAATTGGGCAACACTTCCCATACAGAAGTACGCTCCCAAGATTTATACTAAAACAAATATGAAGTTAAGACAAAAATTTTAACTCTACAAAAGGCAAAATTTGACTAACTCCTTTTGCTCCAGCACATGGCGAGCATTTAAAGCAACTACCAATCAAAAAGACGAACTCAAACCAACTCACAAGCATACACATGCAACCAAGGTAAGTACTCTCAACAAATCTCCCAAGTTGTTTTCACATAGTAGTTTATTAATCCCTCATATGATTAACCCCTTAACCCTCCCTTACATATGGCATAGAGCTACACTATTCAACTAAGAAATAATATCGGGCCTGGTTTAGCTTACACAAAACAGTTGGCACAACAACTTCTTTGTTCTTTGGGCATGCGATTAAGACCATTCAACTCAGAAACAATGTCTAGCCAACCTTAAACACTTTAATAAGAAAAATTTAAGTAACCCTTAGCCTTTGTCTTTGATGCGGGCGTATGCTCATATTACCTTCTATTATATTCTTAATTCATACTTTATTCTTAGTGATAAGGTTTGAAACGGT